GTTCCATTCAATTTACATGAAAAAGAATGGATAACTAATTATGCTGGTCGTTTATATAGTCATAAATGGGGTTATGGAAAATTAGATGCGTACAGAATAGTACAAAATGCTAAAACTCATAAGAATCTTGGAAGTCAAGTATACATAGAAATGCCTATTATTATTGTCAATGAACCAATACCATTTACTGATACTGGAGTTATAAGTAGAATAAATGTGACTCAGAAAGATTTGGATAATGCTAATTTTGCTCATCTGGAACACATCACTGTCACCATTAATATTGATCATACTCGTAGAGGTGATATTGAAGTCGACTTAATAAGTCCCTATGGTACCGTGTCTCATCTTGGTGCTACGAGGCGATATGATGAACATAAGGGAGGTCTTACCAATTGGACTTTCATGAGTGTAATACATTGGTAAGCACTGTTCATGATTTAATTATAAATAATCTTATTGTATACTTCTTATGTGAGTACCTAGACATTTTTATGCGTCACTTTGTGGAGGTGAACGAAATTTGTGTATTACGTATTAGAAATGATCCAGCAAGACGCAGAAAATGGCCAGGTGCTTACGTCAAAAATCACGTTATTGGGCCATGTTATTAATGACATCGCTGATTTATTCACAGCGAATGCTACGTCATAACGGTGGCCCTTGACCACTGTTATTATCTCAGCACCCCTAGTGAATAATCAGTTATCATTAACATCATGACCAATACCAAGTAATTAAATATCGATTAATTTATCAATTAATTTTAGGGATGAGTCACCGATAGGTGAATGGGTTATACAAGTGAGGGATAGACAAAATCCTGAACATACTGGAACTTTTAATGATTGGATGCTTAAACTTTGGGGTGAAGCAAGTACAATTGTTACATCGCCAAGTTTACCATCCTCACCACCTCCTGTAGTAGGATCTCCTACTTCAACCCCTGTATTACCGGCTCTGCCAACACAATCAGGTACTACGTCTGAATCAAGGTCAAGTACTTGGATCTTTGCAATATTTGGAATGGGTGCGGCTTTCATATTTGCGGTAATTGCATATTTCGCAAAAAGACGCTTCTGGGATAATAAGCGTGGACTAAGTTTCTTTACGCGAGAACCGTATTCTCCATTGCAAATGGGTGACGCCACAAGTGGTGCTGACGTTTCTATACCATTAAATAAACAATTTATGACATCCAGAGAATTATTTGACGCATTCGGTGACAGTTCTGGGGATGAGGATGATGAAAGTACTAAAGTTGTATTTGAAAATGCGTATATGGATGAATATATAAATGACGATGAGAAGAAAGTTGATAATGAAGTTGACGATGAGAAGAAAGTTGATAATGAAGTAGAATATATAAATGACGATGAGAAGAAAGTTGATAA